GATGGTTAACTGTGTTGCCATTCAAGAACAGAAAAGATTGAAATCACATGGAGATATTATTTAAGCAACAGATACTTATACACGCACCAGTGCCCCAACCCCTCCCTATACCTGCTTTTAACCACAGTTTGCTTTTTTCCTTGCACAATTTTAAGGAACTGTCTGCCTTCCTCCTGTCAGTTGCTAATATTGCTGCAGAAGAATCAGACTAATGCATTTTCTGTGCTGCTGCCTCAGAAGACTGATTTCTGATTGTTTAGTCACAGGAGTTCACAAAAGTAAAACACCCCCACAATTATGCCTAATAAGTCTTTATTTCCAAACAGAAATTGCAAAAATATTCTATTACAGAGTAGGTAACAAGTACAGAATTCTAAGTATGTGTTATAACAGTGAAACCATTGCCTCCTTGACAAAAAATCATCAGGCACTTAAAACATGAAAACAAAGTACAAATTAAATGAGCTGTAACAGATGACTCAACAATACAACTTTATCTTGGTTTTCTGTAATAAAAGCACACACACGGCTGAGGGGCTCCTGCCTCCTCCTAAACCCTGTGCAGAGACATTTCTATATTACGCTGCACACATTCTACTCAGACAATATCAAGTTCACATCTGAAAACATAAATTAAGTTCAGCACTGAGAGAATTTGAGGAACCTTTTTGGAACAGCAGTAGCAGAGCCTACACTAGCAGCTTCACACAGAGCCTGGAGCATGTGGAGGAACACAATTGTACCAGCTCCATGGGGAATAAGCTCTGCTTTGATAATTGCACTGAAAAGAATGGAGCTAAAACGAATGCAAACGATACACATTTTAAGAGACAATGAAACCTCTGGGCAAAAGCTATCATGGCAACTTTATGGACTTACATTTTAACACATGGAACAGTCTCTGAAAAGAAAAACCACATATTTGCCATCCCTTAGGAGCAGCCCTGTGCAGGACCTCTCCATTTACCTGTCTTCTCACTTGCAGATCTTGAACTAAATTAGAAGCAGAGGTGGCCTCTTAGACCCACCTTAGAAAGGTAAACCTAAGAAGCAAGTGTCCCAATGACTAGTGAAAATACTCCTCCAGAAATCAGTCAGATACCCTTAAAATTATTTTG